ATTCGTATAAGAGTAGGGTTTCGAGACTACCAGTAAATCAGTGTAATGAGATGTATTCACCCTGTTTCGTCTAAGGTTATGAAGGACTGGTAGTAGAATTTTCCCACAATGATATGAGTTGAGCTCACGTTTCCATTCAATTTCACATCTCATTACAAGTAAGTGGTCGAGTTGAGCTGGCCAGAGGAGCAACATGAGCAGCATGAGCCGCCAGAAAAGAGCACACTCAACATGGAGCCATGAGAGTTTGCAAATAGAGAACCAACTACCAAAGACCTACCTGAACAAATTTGTGCCTCGGGACAGTGCTCAAGTTGGTCTGTCTTACCGAGTCTGTCGGAGCTAGAACAGCCTCTCTTAATTGAGGAAATAGAGCAGAAGATTCGACGGTAGACTTGTCGGCCGGCAAGCAGTAGTTGGTGCGAGGAGGTTGGATGAAAATGGAATGAGGAATGGATGGTTGAAAAAGTGGAGGAGGGAAAATTTGTGGCTGAGCAAGACCGCATGGATGAGTCTGAAAACCGGCCCATTCGGTTGAGGATGGGAATAAATATCCCGATTGCGGCGGTCCAGATTGACTTTGTTGGAATGTAGGGCTTAGGATGACTGTTGGTGTGGCATTTATGGTATTCGTGGGTCCCGGCAACGTGATGAAGGCCATGGAGGGAGGCTGAGTTGGTAGGGCGAGTCGTGGCGACATGTCTCTGTTGAGAGGAAGGTAAGTGACCGCGGTTACTTCCATCGGAGGCTTCAAGGAGGTGGTCGACGGACAGACGGGGTCGGGGACGGGTGAGCCGATGGAACGTTTCGACAAATGGAGCCCACCGTAAAGACTTGTCATTGGGCTGGTGGCTGACATGCGGAAACAGCGAGTACCATCTGGACCCCGGGAACTGGGCAAAGCCGGCGAGATGGCGTCAAAGATGGCCAGTTTGGAAACTTCTGCATTGGTCTCGCAGAGGAGGCGCTGAAGAAATTGACTTCGGAACAAATGTTCCTGTTGCCGAGTGTGTCTGTGGCCGAGAAGGGTGTGGCCAAGAGGAGGGTGTTTTGGGAATAAAGTTGAGAAAAGTGGGCGAATGTGGGAATATGCGTGGAATTATGGTGGATGTGAAGATGTTTAGCCTAAAAGTCTTGTCGCAATGGCGGAGAAATCGCGTGGTGATGGTTACTGAGGGAAGTAAAACATGTCTAGAAATGGTTTTTGGTACTTGTCTTGCTCCAAATGATTACCATTTTTCTAATCGTCATCTTTAGGCGTCCCCGTACACAAAGCAAGCTTGAAAAGCAATTATATTTAGGATCCTTAGCGCCCACGGTGGTACTCTTTCGAAAGCACCATAGGCCTGGAATTTGTGAATCATCAACTTTGAAGCTTACCTCAAACTGTAATTGCCAATTGAATAAATAAAGACCAAGATTTTGTGGAGTCTGGTATGGTCGCAGTCTCATTTCGATGTATAGAAATGGGTTGACCTCGTTGTCGCAACTTTGTCTTGTTGTCAGCGCGACTTGGTAGAACGCACCTAGTCTGAAGTCGTCTGC